AAAGCAGGATCTGACTAGATATTTGTTCATCGATGTTTAGAGCAGCATTATTCACATTAGCCAAAAGGCAGAAGAAACCCACAGATGGGATGAATGGATTAAAAATAATTTAGTGTAGGGGTGCCTAGGTGGCTTAGTTGGTTAAGTGTCCAACTCTTTTCTTTTTTAAATGTTTATTTTTGAGAGAGAGTGAGAGAGAGAGAGACAGAGAGAGAGAGAGACTGAGAGAGAGAATGAGCGGGGAAGGGGCGAAGAGAAAGGAAGACACAGAATGTGAAATAGGCTCCAGGCTCTGAGCTGTCAGCACAGAACCTGACGTGGGGCTCAAACCCACAAACCGTTGAGATCATGATCTGAGCCAAAGTCAGGCGTTTAACCAACTGAGCTGCCCAGGCACCCCTTAAGTATCCAACTCTTGATTTCAGCTCAGGTCATGATCTCATGGTTAGCCCCCCCACTGGGCTCTGTGCTGACAGGACAGAGCCTGCTTGGGATTCTCTCTCTCCCTCTTTCTCTGCCCTTCCCCTGCGCACATGCTCACTCTCACTCTCATAAAGTAAATATTAAAAAAATAATTTAGTATATACATACAACAAAATACTCTTAAAAAGAAAGGATATTCTGACACATGCTACAACACAGAGGAACCCTGAAGAAAGGGTTATATCACATGCTAGGTGATATAAGCCAGTCACAAAAGGACAGTGTATGATTCCACTCAACATGAAGTACGTAGAGTAGTGAAATTCATAAAAACAAAAAGTAGAATGGTGGTTGCCAGGGACTGGGAGGAGAGGAGAATTGATAGTTATTGCTTAATGGGTACAGAGTTTTAGTTTTAGAAGTTGAAAAAAGGTTCTGGAGGTGATGGTAGTGATGGTTACACAACAATATGAATTTACTTATGTCACTGAACTACACTTAAAAATGGTTAAAATGGTAAATTTTGTATTATGTAAATTTTACAATTTTTAAAAATATACGCCTTGTAAAGAAACTGTTTACCTTGTTTACACCACTAATAAAGAGGAATACACCCATACAAGTTTGTCAAAGCTACTGATTTATAGCTTTGCCTAGAGAAAGCTTCTTCACGTATGTACGTAGGTCTATATGTAATCAATGTCTTCACACATTTTTATTTAAGTTTTTATTTATTATTTTGAGAGACAGAGAGAGAGAGAGCAGGGAAAGGACAGAGAGAGAGGGAGAGGCAGAGAGTTCCAAGCAGGCTCCCCAGCACAGAGTCTGACGTAGGGCTCGAACTCATGAACTGTGATCATGATCTGAGCCGAAACCTAGAGCTGGATGTTCAACTGACTGAGCCACCCAGGCACACCAATCTCTTCACAAATTTTTAGAAGATCAAATTGAAGATGTTGAACTTCAATATGATTATTCATCTGTACTGCCTCAGGTAGCATATTTTCCAAAAAAATATGCATGTCTGGAGGTGCCTGGGTGGCTCAGTTGGTTAAGCATTCAACTTCAGCTCAGGTCATGGTCTCACGGTGAGTTCGAGCCCCACCTTGGGCACTGTGCTGACAGATGGGAGTCTGGAGCCTGCTTCAGGTTCTGTGTCTCCTCCTCTCTCTCTGCCCCTCCCCTGCTCATGCTCTGTCTCTCAATAACAAACATTAAAATTTTTTTAAAAAAAAAATGCATGTCAAGTGCACGTCTATGTAACACGAAATAAGTGATACTTTATTAACATACTAATACCAATTACCACCCTAGTGATTTTTCAGACCATTGCTTTGGCACCATTATTCAACACATGTTTTTCATAATAATAATTGATACTTTTCATGTTATCAATAGTTAGAGCAAATCTTCTTTAATATATCAATGATTATAAAGAACAAAACACAAGGAAAAGCAAGCCCAGGATGAACAAACTGACTACTCTAGTCAAGTAACTATTGGACATTTTCAATGAGGTTACCTACCTCATTTACCTTTTAGCATCAAGAGCCTTAATTCATGACAGTAGTTCTTACTTCAGAGGTACTATCTTTAACAAACAAACAAAACAAAACAAAAAAAGATTCTACTAATCAACCACACAAAATTCTCTATGTTCCTCACAAGGCTTATGTGTGAACCATTACAGTTGTGCCCAGTATTCTAGTTCTCATTCCATGCATATGGCAAGATTACACTTCACCACCATCTCTAAAGTTAGGTGTGGGCATGTGACTTATTTCAGCCAATGAAAGAAAAGGAAGTGGCACTATTTAGTAGCTTTAAAAGTCAGTGCATAATTGCCTATCTCTTTTCCCCTGTCAGAGAAACCAATTGCCTTTTTTCCTCTGTCAGAGAAAACAACAGTGGCCAGTGAGGACAAACAGTGGAGAAGTAGAGCTTCTGGCTGTCCCACTAGGGATATGAAACATGAACAATAAATAAATCTGTTAGTTTTAGCCACAGATATTGTGGGGTTTGGTATCTTAACTGATATAGCTTGATAAGTAATTCTCTTTTCAAGTACTTCTCTAGGGAATGCCATATGAGAACTTAAGTTGTATAATGCCTGTTTCACATTGACTGTTTAAAATAAAATTCCATCACAGAAAATGTGCTGAAATTATAAGACATGAAAACTGAACAGACTAGCACTCATCATCTAGCAATAATCCATCAAAGAGAAAGCTACTTGGTAGGTGCTGCTTACTCTTCAATTCATAGATAAAGTATCTGTCCTTTAGCAGACCTAGCACTCTTGGGCACGCAATTTCTTAAAGTCAATGATTACATGATTGAGAGTAATTACAACCACATTTAGAAGAAGAAAATCACTAACATTTTTTTTTTAACTTCATGACACAATTGGGAAAACAGCCATGTAGTAACTTCTGTATCAGTCAGACCCATGTTAAAATTTCAGATCTGCCACTTAAGAGCAATATGATCTTGAACAAATTACTTCACAACTCTGCACTTCAATTTCCTCATCTGCAAAAATAAGGATAATAATAACTCACAGAATGAGTGGCAGAATTACACAGACTGTTAAGTAACAGGCATGGAGTGTGGGGTGTACAGAAATGTTCACTTCTTCCCCCCATTAACAACATTATCAGCTCATTTAGGGGCAAGAGAGAAAAGGGAACCCTATAAAAGATTGACAAACACATCTTTTCCAGATTTTCTCTAAAGAATGTAAACAGCTAACTTTCCTTTTTCTGTCCAATTCACTATAAAGTGCTACCAAATCCACTCCTGTCCTTATTCCCTCCCACCTTGACCAATAAAACAACCACTTAATTGGTGTCCCTGATTCTAGTCTTAACATCTTTAAAGGCATCTTCCACATCACCAAGTAATTACAACCAATCATTCCACTCCACTACTTAAAATCCTTCATTGGCTGGTGGTAATTTATCTTAAAATATGGATGGAGTACTGTGATATATATAATTTACTTTCAAATAGCTTAGGTAAAAAAAGAATATAAGTGTATGTCCATTTTGCTCATATACATACATATGCATATATAGTCATATATGTAAATTTTATACATATAATACATAAATGCAAAATGAGCAAAAAACAGCAAAATATTAACAATGATAAACCTAAGTGGTGGGTTTATGGATTCACTGTAGTCTAACTTTTTTGTATAAGATTTTAATAAAAACTTGAAAACCTGAGGGGTGCCTGGCTGGCTCAGTCAGTGGAGCATGCAACTCTTGATCTCAGGGTTGTAGGTTCAAACCCCATGCTGTGGGTAAAGATTACTTAAAAAAAATAAAACCTTATAAAAAGTTGAAAAAGCAAAATGAAAAATATTATTAGTATGCTTTATTTATGGAAAAATGGAAAGAGTAAAAATGTATTTACTTGAATATGCACAAACTCCAAGCATAGGAAATTATTAACAGTGATTTCTTGTTGGGTGGGGAAAGCAGTGGGAAATGAGCAAACAGGAAACAGAGATGAGAAAGACTCATACAATTTACATACACAGAATTCTATGACTGCATTATCTCTTTAAAATATTACACTGAAAAGTAATGTTGACCATAGTTTTACACACTGCATACTGTGAGGATTAAGTGAGACAATGTATATAAAGCTTTAGTAAGTGCTTGGTACTTGGTCAAGGCTCAGTAAATGTTAGCTAGTCCGGCTGTTGAAGAAAAAATAAATCTTCAGTATTAATAGTACCATCTAATATGTACCAGTTAATTTTAATCTACACCCTCAGATGGTTAGTTGTGCTCTCCAGAAATGACTACTTATGAACATGAATTCCAAATCACCACTACCAACATTTATATTGAAGGATTTTTTTGATTGGTCAAAGGCAAGACTGAAATTATTTTTCCTTGATGAAATGACTAGAATTTGAAATATATGACTGCTAGGAAAACCACGTGGGCACCACTAAGAAAGTTTAACAATTTAGCAAGCTCAGCAGCCTAGACTTTTCGAACAACACTCAGTACCATTTGGGCCCAGGATCTCCCACTTCAAAGAAGCCACTGTTGTCTAACATGACCATTCTTGCTATCAGACTACTGCTACTGTTTATCTTTTAGTGAACCAAGTCTCTCATCACAGAGTCTTCATGGAGGACCCTGCTATCTGACTTGACAGCACACCATTCTGCCACCCACACCACAGGCCCAAAATGGAGTCATTTATGCTGGGCCAAGTCACCAAACTGGGGCTTAATATCCAACTAATTGCAGTTTCAGCCTCCCCCAGAAATGTGGTTTTAAACAGTCGGGAATTTACTGGTCAGCACCAATGAGGTAATATGGGCCTGTCTCCATTCCCCAAAGGAAGATGAGATAATCAACCTAATAAGACCCTCTCCCCACTCCAAGGTAGGTGACCTTACCCCAAAAAATCCTTTCTTCTGTTTATTTTTTTTAAATTTTTTAATGCTTATTTACTTTTGAGAGAGAGACAGAGTATGAGCAGGGGAGGGGCAGAGAAAGAAAGAGACACAGAATCTGAAGCAGGCTCCAGGCTCTGAGCTGTCAGCACAGAGCCTGACGCGGGGCTCGAACCCACGAACTTACGAGATCATGACCTGAGCCAAAGTCGCATGCTCAACCAACTGAGCCACCCAGGCGCCCCATCCTTTCTTCTGTTTGTAACTTCCTTGTCCTGCTTTTAAAAACCTTTGCCTTTCTGTACTCTCTGGAGCACCTTTCTAGACAGCATGCTGACCAATCCATGAATAAACCCAATTAGATCTTTAAAATTTACTTGGTTGAATTTTTGTTAACAATTCCTATCATCAGAAGTCGGTACCATCTACCTTTAGTGAACCAAGGCATCCCCTCATAGAGCTAATAAGAAGATTAAATGAGGTATAAATGATAATAAGCACTTAACACAGCTTTTAATCTATTCCAAGTAAAATTACCAGCAATCATTATTACTTTGAGAAACTAAACTTGTTAAATCAACAATTCCATTTAGAAGTTTTAAGTTTTTATTAGATTAACCCTAGAATTCATACCAATTCTAAGACATGGATTCAACTACAAAAAAAATTTCACATTAAAAACAAAAAAATTTCAGATTAAAAACAATTGGGGGCACCTGGGTGGCTCAGCCAATTAAGTGTCTGACTTCAGCTCAGGTCATGATCCAACAGTTTGTGAATGTGAACCACACACCGGGCTCTCTGCTGTCAGCACAGAGCCCATCGGGATACTCTGTCCCCCTTTCTCCTTGCCCCTCCCCCCACCTCAAAAATAAACATTTTTTTTTTAAAAGCTTTAAAAATAACTAAACAACAATTCATTTCCCAAAATAGCTATAGTAGATGTTTGCTACCTGTGACCTATTTTAGAGCATTTTTTTGACATCAGGCACAAATCAAATAAAGATTTAGTGGGGTGCCTGAGTGGCTCAGTTGGTTAAGCGGCCAACTCTTGACTTCCGTTCAGCTCAGGATCTCACAGTTGGTGAGTTCGAGCCCCACATCAGGCTCTGTGCTGACACTGGGGAGCCTGCTTGGGATTCTCTCTTCCTCTCTCCCTGCCTCTCCCCACCTCATGCTTTCTCAAAATAAATAAACGTTAAAAAAAGGAAATATTTAGTAATAAATTACTATATCTAAAGATGAGTTAATAAAAGAAAAACTGAAAATATTCTGTACTAGTTTAGTAAAGCAGTGCCACTTTGAAATACAGTATTATTTTTAAAATAATGTATGTCTGTAAAGTTAATTTGTTTAAACAAATTCAAATAGAATCTAAAAAAACCAAAAGTGTAAAATACAATCTAGACTTACCACTTCATAAATATAACACAACAATATATATGCACAAGAGCACAAAAAGCTACATAAAAACAAAGGCACACACACACACACAGAAAACTTCATAGTGGTTAGCTTAATAAAGAAAATAGGCTGTTATTATTCAACTAATAGTTTTATAGGCACTGATACCATTAAAAAAAAAAAACAACAATCACTGTAAAATTTATCCAAATCCAGTCAGTAAAACTGCAGACTGATAATCCTGAACAAAGTAATTAAAAATTGCACTGACTTCAGAAAATTACTTAGCTAAACACCTAAGTCTATTGTCAGGTGTATATACAATTTGATTTCAATCACAAAACTAATATAATCAATAAGAAAATGAGACGTGAAACCAGTACTTTTTCCTTTGACCTTTCATAATTACATTCCATCTTTTAAAAATATTCACCTAAAGATTTTTGTCTTGAAATATAATTGACATAAATAGCGTATTAGTTTCAGGTATACAACATAATGATTCACTATTTGTATATATTATGAAATGATAATCACAGTGAGTCTAGTTAACATCCAACACCACACACAGTTACAAATTTTTTTGTGATGAGAACTTTCAAGACCTACTCTTTTAGCAACTTTCAAATATGTAATACAGTGTTATGAACTGTAGTCACTATGCTATACCTTAAAAAGATGCTTTGACTTTACATTTTCTTGACGAATATCCAGGCAGTAAAATATTCTTTGAAGAAAAATCTAATGATCTGGCAAGAGCTAATACTTCAATTACAAAGTAGTATATCTATGTTCAAAAAGCCCAGATGAACTCTGCTGATCATATATTTAAGAATGTAGGGATGCCTGACTGGCTTAGTTGGTAGAGTGTGCAACTCTTGATCTCAGGGTTGTGAGTTCAAGCCCCACATTAGGTGTAGAGATAACTTAAAAATAAAATCTTGAAAGAAAGAAAGAAAGAAAGAAAGAAAGAAAGAAAGAAAGAAAGAA